CTATGTATTGTCGGTGACGCTCGGGACGAAAAAGGTCGAGCGTCACAGGACCGAGAGCAATGCTGTGGCTGCACGTCCTGAAGGGCAACGTAGGGGCGGACCAGCCCAGGAGGGAATCATCGGCCAAGAATCGGCGATGCATAGATCGGCGATGGGCCCCCGATAGCGGATCCACATTCTCCTGCGCGGGATGGGCTATCCGGCGTTGAATGGACGATTGCAGAATGAAAAAAAGTGAATCTAAACTTTTGGCACTCCGCGCGGATTTCTTAGATCTGCGCTTGACCCCCCTCCCTGACGCGCGGAGCGCGCCAGGGGCGGCGCCAAAGGCGTCGCCCAGGGGGGGGGCCAGCGCGGATCCAAGAAATCCGCGCGGAGCGCCAAAGTCAATGTTTATGCCGTTTTCCCTTCTTCGACTATTGGCGATGAATGGACGATTTGGGGTCGATGCATCCCTCCCTGAGCTTCCCCCCCAGATAAAAACGGAGCATGGCGAGCTGAAACAGCGGCAGCTCAGAGTCGATCTCCAAACCCCTCCCAGGGTCCAACGCAGAGAATAGAATTGGGCGGAGGCCAAATGGCGGGGTAGGAGGGAGAAGGGAGGAGGGAGGAATGAGTGGAAGGGCCCAGGGCGAGGCACTTCTTTGAGCAGGGACCGACCGTCCCGGCATTCCTATAGTTCTACCACGAAGTGTTATGAGAACCCATACATGCTCTAAGAACAAAAGCAGTTTCTTAGAACATAAAACCGATGTGATAAAACAAAACAGATTCCGCCAGAATGTTATAAGAGCATTTCGTGGAAACCACAAAAGGTTCTTTGAACATTGTTTGGTAGGGCTAGGAGAGCCAGGACGCTTCGTCACTGTTTGACTTATACTGTGCACGGCTGTCTCGAGAAGCGCCCTCTGGCGGCCCGAGGGTCCTGACACAGCCAGACTGAAGTCCTGCCACGGCCACGTCGAGCAGGCCGATTGCTGGTGGGGGGCTATGCAGGGCGCTAGTCAAAACTCTGCGACCCCCTCCAGTGGCCACGATCGCCTTGAATTCCAGTGCGCCCTGTTGGCCGGCTGTGAATGACCTGAGAGTGCATCTAAAGGAGGGAAGTCACTGCGAGAATGACGCCTCGCCTTGGCTCAGAGGTCCTGCGGTGGTCACACACGAGCACCCCCGACGGCTTCTGATGTCAAAGGTAGGGCACGCTGTAAACAATCTCGCGCCTTCGTCGCTTGCAGGCAAACCGAGCAAGACCCAGCTGGCCAGCGGGGATAATATTGAAAAGGCTACTTCAAATGCTGCTCAACAGAAGGGGGCGAATTTCTGCGCTGGTCTGATGCGGAGCAGAGCGCAGCAGAAACGGCACTGTAGCCTGACACGAAAGCGCGAACCCCCTGAACTGATCAGGCAGCGTCAGACTTGAGACCTTCCTCGCTTTCGAGAACCAGCCCATCCAAGTCCTTGAGGTCGACAGACCGGCCGAGCTTCCACGACAGCTCGGCGGCAATCGTGGTGCGCACGATGCTCGGGTGACGCGACATCGCCTCTTGCTCAAGGCGGTGGTGTTCGCTGTCGACCCCTGCACGCACCATCGTGATGAATTCATTGAGTTCGGTGGTGTACGCCTCCTTGTAGCGCTCAGGAAAGCTCCACTGCGCACAGGGCATCAGGTGGCCTTCTGCAGTGGCCAGCTCCACGGTGCTGGTGAGCGCGTTCTTCGCAGTCAACATGCCCTTGGCGCCAAACGCCTCGATGCGTTGGTCGTATCCGTACGAGGCGTCGCGGCACGTATCCACCATTGCAATGAGGCCACTCGGGTACTTTAGCGTCACGGCGACAGTGTCGATGTCACCCATCTCTTCGATCTCCTTGTTGTAGGCGTGGCCCACAGACATCACGGTCTCTGGCTCCTGACCCCCACTGAGCCAGTTGAGCATATCGAAATCGTGTATCAGCATGTCGTGGAAGATGCCTCCGCTGGTGCGCAAGTACTCCATTGGCGGCACAGGGTTGTCCCTGCTGCAACACTTAACAACCTTGAGATCGCCTACGGAGCCATCTTCCACATGCTTCTTAAGCTTTCGGAAGTTTGTGCCGCAACGCCTCTGGTAGCCACAGTACAGGGGCAAATTTTTGCTCGTCGCCAGCTGCACCGCCTCCTCCACTTCCTTCAGCTCGTGGGAGATGGGCTTCTCCGTGAGCACCGACTTGTTGGCGCTCAGCGACTCCATGATGAAGGGGAAATGGGTGTCCGTTGTCGACGCCACGACCACAGCCTGCACGCCGGGATCCGCCAGGGCGGGCGCCAGGGATGTGGCCCACCTGCAGCCCAGCCGCGCGGCGATGCCCTCGGCCCGGGCCCCGTCCACGTCCACGACCCACGCGAGCCGCGCCTGATCGGGGATGCCGGCGATGGAGGTCATGTGGAAGTGACCGGCCCGCCCGAGCCCCACGAACGCCACGCCGATGCGCGCGTCGGGCCGCGACATCGCGGCGGAGGTGGCTGCGAGGGGGCGCACGGGGAGGCGCCCGGGTGCGCACTGCGCGGGGCGCGCGCGTCTCGATCTGGGGCGGGCGGGGAGCGGCCAAGGGAGCTCGAGCCAAAACGGCTGCGGAGGCTTTTCATCCCGAGTTGTTGGTCGACGGCCCCAGGACCCGGCGAGGACTCCCAGAGCAGGGAGCATACCATCACATCGGCACCCGCCCTGCTTGAAGTCCCATGTAACATTTGGAGCTCCTTGGACGTCAACATTGGCTCAGGATGGGCCGAACGGGAGTACCATCGCATCGGCACCCGCCCTGCTTGGAAGTCCCATTTAACATGTAGAGCCCCTTGGACGTCGACATGGAAGAAGAAGAAGAAGGAGCAGGGATGCACGGGTAGCCTCGATGAAGCAGTGCTATCCTTGCCATGGAGTTGGGCAATGCATGCCAAGACCAATGGAAGACCCCAAAAAATATCCCGGCATCGCACCTTCATCGTCGGCATGGCCCAGCCCGGTGCAAGAGGCCGAGCAGGCCGCGCGCGCGCGGAACGCCGCCGAACCGTCAACGGCCGTCCAGGATCGCAACCAGTCGACTCGTTGCTCCCAGAAACCGGGCTTGCCGCAGGCGCTGGGGGCGCCCCAGACAACAGCGGGCAACTTCTGTTTACGACGCCTGTATGAGCACGCAGAACTGCATATTTTGCCTACGCGTCCGCCAGGAATGCAAGGCCGCAGTCAGTCAGTCGCGGCTCTCCTCGCAAACTCGTGGGCGACGAGCAGGAAGCGAGCCTTACGGGCCGTGGCTCCTTGACCAGATTACGCGTGCCGCCAGCGTGGCACGCTGCATTGGGAATGAGGGCACTCGACCTTACGCGTGCCAATTTGCGCGCCACTCTTAGTGCAGACGACCGCGTTGTTCTGGGTCCGTCGTTGGCGGGCGACGCAGGTCGCTTGGGTTATCGTCTCCACAAATGCGCCAAAATGGGCTGGACGTAGCGACTTTTTCGCGACGTCAAACCGCCGGCATGATTTTTCTCGATTCTCGATGTTACATCTCAAATTGCAACATCGCGAAGCTTCATTCCAAGAACCCTCCATGCAATACTTTTGCTGCGCTTTCCGAGCGAAATCCATCCGCGCAGGCCCCAAGGCACAAAAAAGGGCGAGATCGCTGGCTGCGAAAACATTGCGACGCCACGAACCGATCATCCTGGCTCAGGTCACCGTACATCCTGGGGGCTCCCGACCGTCTGGGAGTCCATGGAGTCCCGCCTTGGAAGCAGCTGGAGGGTCTGCAATGAACGGGCCCAGACAAAAGTCGGTCAAAAAGGGGGGCGAAGCAAGTCAACCCACTCTCGGTCCCCAAACCCATCCCGGAGTCGGAACTGACAACACTTTCGAGCCCCTTTCCAGCCGTTGCGACGAGGGGGCGCCTTTCTTCCGCCTTTCTTACAAGAAGAAGAAGAGGAAGAAGAAGGAGAAGACTAAGAAGACTAACGGCATAAACATATGCCTTTGGGAGGTCCGCGTGGATCGCTTGGATCTGAGCTGGACCCTCCATCCTGGCGCGCGGAGTGCGCCAGGGTTTGCGCCGGAGGCGCCGCCTGTGGGATTCAGTGCAGATCCAAGAAATCTGCGCGGAGCGACACAAGTTGATGTTTATGGCGTGCTGTTCTTCGTCGAGACGAGGGGGCGCCTTTCTTCCCCCTGCTGGGCCGCCTCAGCCCACCGGCCCAACCCCCCTTGCTCTCCCGTTGGCTTTCGGGTGAGGTCGGGCATGTCCTCCTATAGGCGGATGTTGGAAGAAAAACTAACAATAGTCAAAACACATTCGAAAAAGAGGCCCCCAAACTACCCTCAAGAGGCACCCGAGAGCGCTCGTCGTCGTCGTCGTTGTCGTCGGCGTCGTCGTCATCGTCGTCGTCGCCATTCAGGGTCGCCGGCACTGGCCCTAAGGCCGCTGCAATAGTCAAACAATGATATAACGAAATCGTCCCCTGGCTATTTTCTGGCTAGGTTTGAACATCCCCCTGGTAAGATTGGGTCGGGCATGTCCCCCTACAGGCGGAAAAATACAAAATTGTCAAACAAATACCCCAAAATAGTTAAACATACTGCAAAATCGTCCACGGACGATTCTGTTTTACTATTCTTGAACGTTCCTCCTGCAGGGGGACAGGCCCGACTTAAGGGTAGGGTGATAGGCCCGACTTAACTTTGTGAACTCCAAATCCATGATTTATCGACCCCCCTTAAAAGAACCGGACCCCCCGCCAAATGCCACATCATCTGCCGGACCCCCCTCTTCGACAGGGCGCCCTACCAAACCAGACCCCCTGAGCTCCAAGCCTCCAAGCCAAAACCGGACCCCCCAGTTACAAAAAAAAGGCGCCCTACAAAACCGGACCCGGAGGACGATTCATGAGGGATTCTGGCCATCCCTCGGACGTCCATGCCCTGTGCATTTTTTCAGTTCCGCGCGTACTTCTTCTTGCCAGATGCTCCAGCACGCCCCTCGCCGATGCAAAAATGGCACACCTCCGAGCGATGCCAAAGATTTGGAAGAAGTAAGGTCCTGCCCCGGGGCCTCGGGCGGCCGTGCCGGCAGGACGAGCCGGGCGGCCCCCCCCAAAAAATTAGCCTGGCGAAGGACCCAACCATATGCAACTGTGAATACCGCAAGTGTGAATATCGTTTTCGGCGGCGCTACCTCTGGGTAGTGGAGACGCATGCGAACACCCCCACTGGGGCCTTCGGTGGAGCTCCCTCTGGGGCTACGAAACGCTGCCCTGGGTGGGGGAACCGCATGCAGGCAGCCCCACTGGGGCCTTCGGTGGAGCTCCCTGTGAGGCTACGAAACGCTGCCCTGGGTGGGGGAACCGCATGCGGGCACCCCCACTGGGGCCTACGGTGGAGCTCCCTCTGGGGCTACGAAACGCTGCCCTGGGTGGGGGAACCGCATGAGGGCAGCCCCACTGGGGCCTACGGTGGAGCTCCCTATGGGGCTACGAAACGCTGCCCTGGGTGGGGGAACCGCATGTGGACACCCCCACTGGGGCCTTCGGTGGAGCTCCCTCTGGGGCTACGAAACGCTGCCCTGGGTGGGGGAACCGCATGTGGACACCCCCACTGGGGCCTTCGGTGGAGCTCCCTCTGGGGCTACGAAACGCTGCCCGTGGGGGAACCGCATGTGGACACCCCCACTGGGGCCTTCGGTGGAGCTCCCTATGGGGCTACGAAACGCTGCCCTGGGTGGGGGAACCGCATGTGGACACCCCCACTGGGGCCTTCGGTGGAGCTCCCTATGGGGCTACGAAACGCTGCCCTGGGTGGGGGAACCGCATGTGGACACCCCCACTGGGGCCTTCGGTGGAGCTCCCTCTGGGGCTACGAAACGCTGCCCTGGGTGGGGGAACCGCATGTGGACACCCCCACTGGGGCCTTCGGTGGAGCTCCCTCTGGGGCTACGAAACGCTGCCCTGGGTGGGGGAACCGCATGCGGACACCCCCACTGGGGCCTTCGGTGGAGCTCCCTATGGGGCCACGAAACGCTGCCCTGGGTGGGGGAACCGCATGTGGACACCCCCACTGGGGCCTTCGGTGGAGCTCCCTATGGGGCCACGAAACCTATTACGAAACGCTGCTTGGGTGGGGGAACCGCATGTGGACACCCCCACTGGGGCCTTCTATGGGGCTCCGCTCATGCCCTACGAAACGCTGGTGCATGTGGCCACTGGGGCCTTCATGTGGCTACACCCCATGTGGACACTGGGGCCTTCGGTGGAGCTCCCTATGGGGCTACGAAACGCTGCCCTGGGTGGGGGAACCGCATGTGGACACCCCCACTGGGGCCTTCGGTGGAGCTCCCTATGGGGCTACGAAACGCTGCCCTGGGTGGGGGAACCGCATGTGGACACCCCCACTGGGGCCTTCGGTGGAGCTCCCTATGGGGCTACGAAACGCTGCCCTGGGTGGGGGAACCGCATGCGGACACCCCCACTGGGGCCTTCGGTGGAGCTCCCTATGGGGCCACGAAACGCTGCCCTGGGTGGGGGAACCGCATGTGGACACCCCCACTGGGGCCTTCGGTGGAGCTCCCTATGGGGCCACGAAACGCTGCCCTGGGTGGGGGAACCGCATGTGGACACCCCCACTGGGGCCTTCGGTGGAGCTCCCTATGGGGCTACGAAACGCTGCCCTGGGTGGGGGAACCGCATGTGGACACCCCCACTGGGGCCTTCGGTGGAGCTCCCTCTGGGGCTACGAAACGCTGCCCTGGGTGGGGGAACCGCATGTGGACACCCCCACTGGGGCCTTCGGTGGAGCTCCCTCTGGGGCTACGAAACGCTGCCCTGGGTGGGGGAACCGCATGTGGACACCCCCACTGGGGCCTTCGGTGGAGCTCCCTATGGGGCTACGAAACGCTGTGCTGGGTGGGTGAAACGCAAGGAGGAGGGGGAGGGGCAGCGGGAGGAGTGGAGGGAGGAGGGCGAGGAGGAGGAAGGAGGAACGCGGGGCACCGTCTCTTCAAAACGAGGACCCAACACCACAGGATGGTTGGGAAAAACAGCCCTCGGCGGGGGCGCGGCCACCGGCGAGCGCGCGCCCCGGGGCGGGAGAGGCGCCGCCGGCGGCCGGGCGCACAGAGCGGGTCCGAGGACGTCGACGAGCTCGGGGGCGTCCCGCGAGGGGGGGGGGCGTGCAATAGAGGAAACAGAACAATGCACATACACCGATTCTGGCCAGGCCCATCCTGAGCCCAGGATCGGTGCATACTCCCTCCTACCTTGGCCAGGAAGGCATATGCACCGATCCTGGGTCAAGGATGAGCCTTGCCAGGACCGGTGCATGTGCATGGTTCTCTTCGCCCGATGCAAGAGGGGGGGTCGCCGGGCCAGGTGCGCTCGCGTCGCGCCCGACGTCCTGCCCCCGCCCTCCCGTCCCTCGCCGTGGCGTCGGTGTCCTCTCTAGTGCGCACGGGTCGGACGTCGAGCAGGGCAGCGATGGCGGGAGGGTGCTCGCACGGTGCACGGCAGAGCACGGCACGGCATGGCGCCGAAGAGAGCGGCAGAGCGGGGTCGCAGATCGTGGCCCGAGGCACGTGTGCGGCCCCGTGGGGGGGGGG